TATATATATATATATATATATATATATATATATATTCAGCCTACAAGTGACTCAACGTTCGGTGACAGGGGATTTCACAAGAGCGTAGTGGTCAGAGACCTCCAACTTCCACCTTATACTAACACTCCAGCTCTCGATTTGTACCCATATATGACATTGCTCGTATACATGCGCACACATATATAGGAGCCTCCATTCACTCGAATATAGCCTCACCTAATAACCTTTACTAATGGAACTCTTGGTTGAGGGGAGCACTTGAGAGACATGTCCTATAAAGATGCATTGCTCGTACATCCGCGCACGCATATACGATAATTATACACACACTCACGCATATGGAAGAACACACATTCAACCTCACACAGTCTCGCTTATGACTGCTAGTTACTACCACTTGGTAGCGGAAAGCACCTGAGTGATAAGTCTGTATGACGATGCACAACACCCATCGATTCGTATATAGCCATACCTATGGCCGTTATTAACGGAACTCTTGGTAGCCGGGGGTTCGCATTTGAGCGACAACTGGTAGGCTTCTTCGTCGGCCATGACGTACTTCTCATTCAGCATCTCGTCGATCTCCGTATTGATGGGATAGTTGTACTTGGAGAGGGAAACGGTATTGCGGAACTGCTGGATGAGTTGCGCCAGGGCTCTGTGTGGGGTGTCGCATCTCAATTTAGTTTAGACATGTAGGTACAAAGTATTAAAACATCTCTCATTCATCATGTCTGTTTGACTTCGTATCTCAACTTAGATATGTATGTAGAACGTGTTTCCCAGTCACTCCCCTCTCATATATATCTGTGTAGGTAGGATGCTTATACCCGAACATGGCGCCAGGTGTCTGCGGGGATGTAGCATCTCAATTTAGACTTGTAGGTATAAAAGTAACGCTCGTTTCTCATGCCGTCTGTTTGATGCGTTCTCTCAAGTTAGATTTGCATGGAACTAGAATGTGCTCCTCATATATCATCGACTTTTAACACTCGGCCCAATCCCCATTGGTAGGGTGCTAAACCCTAAACCCTAAAATCCTAGTCCTTTACGCATTGGGAGGATACGTATTCCCTGACAGGGACACTGTGGCTTTGTATTGCTATCTCAGTTGCGCCGAGGCCCAGTTGTTGAGATCGACCTTTCAGCGTACACATACTTGCGAGTACGAATAAAGGGATATACAGATATGCGCTGTATGTAGGCATACAGTGTCATACAGATAGGCACGTAGACTATAAACTAACATATCCGTAATAAAAAAACGCACATTGCTTTTTTGTCACAGATAGGCTCTATCCACATATTTACATACAGATGTATGAACGGTGACGCACATACGCGCACATGTATTGATAAATAT